TAAACATGGTTTTATGAATGAAAGTTCAGCTTATTTGTGGCATAAACGTTTGGGTCGTATATACAAAGAAAGAATTGAAAGATTAGTAAAGAATGAAATCCTTAATGAATTGGATTTCACTGATCTTGGCATCTGTGTGAATTATATGAAAGGAAAACACACAAATCACACACTTAAGAAAGCTGTCACAAGAAGCATACAACTCCTTAAAATTATACACACTGATATTTGTGGACCTTTTAATGTTCCATCTTTTGATGGAGAGAAATATTTTATCACCTTTATTGATGATTTTTCACGTTATGGGTATGTCTACTTATTGCATCAAAAATCTCAAGCAATAGATGCCTTAAAAGTGTATATAACTGAGGTTGAGAGATAATTATACAGAAAAGTGAAAATAATCAGGTCTGATAGAGATGGTGAATATTATGGAAGTTACAATGAATATGAACAATGTCCAGGTCCATTTGCTAAATTCCTTCAAACTAATGACATATGTGCTCAATACACTATATCAGGAACACCACAACAAAATGGTGTTGCAGAAAGGCAAAATCGTACTCTAATGGAAATGATTAGGAGTATGATGAGGGTAAAGAATGATGAGTAATTCGTCTTTACCCTCATCATTGTGGATGCATGCTTTAAAGACCGCTACATATTTATTAAACATGATTTCTAGTAAGGCAGTTCCGAAGACTCTTTTTGAACTGTGGACAGGAAGGAAACCTAGTTTAAGACATCTGCGTGTTTGGGGTTACCTAGCGGAAATAAGGTTATATAATCTACATGAAAAAAAAACTGGACTCAAGAACAACCAGTGGTTTCTTCATTGGTTATCCAGAAAAATCTAAAGGGTACATATTTTATTGTCCTAACCACAGTACAAGTATTATTGAAGCTGGAAATACCAATTTCATTGAAAATGGTGAAGTTAGTGGGAGTTTGGAACCACATAAAGTGAAGATCCAAGAAATTAGGGTTCAAGTTCTTTTACCCAAAATTTCTTCTCAAGTTGTTATTCCTACAGTTGTTAAACAGTTTGACAACTTACAAGAACAACATATATATGATCGAATACCCCACAATGAAACTGTCACTGATGAACCTATATTAGATGAACCACATGAAGTAGTACCTAGAAAGTTTCAACGACAAAAAAGTCTGCTATTTCCGATGATTATTTGGTTTATCTTCATGAATCTGAATTTGACTTAGGAGTCAATGAAGATTCAGTTTCATTTTCACAAGCCATAAAAAGTGCAAATTCTTCTAAATGGTTAGAAGCAATGAAAGATGAGTTGAAATTGATGGATCACAAAAAAATTCTGTGATATCGATGAATTGCCTGAAGGTTGTAAAAGAGTCGAGAGTAAATGAGTCCTTAAGACTAAACACGACTCGAATGACAATATTAAACGATATAAAACCAGACTTGTTGCCAAAGGTTTCACTCAGAAAGATGACATCGACTATAAAGAAACATTTTCTCTAGTTTCTAAGAAAGAATCTTTTAAAATTATCATGACACTAGTAGCTCATTTTGATTTGGAGTTACACCAAATGAATGTGAAAACTACCTCTTTTGAATGGAAATTTAGATAAAGCGCTCTATATGAGTCAACCTGAAGGATTTTTCGTTGAAGGAAAGGAACACATGGTGTGTAAACTTAAGAAATCAATATAGAGACTTAAGCAAGCTTCCCGACAATGGTATCTTAAGTTCAATGATATCACCACGTTCTTTGGATTTCAAGAAAATATTATTGATCGGTGCATATATATAAATGTCAGTGGGAGCAAAATCATATTTCTCATTTTGTATATTGATGACATCTTGTTGGATATTAATGATCTTGACTTATTATATGAAACCAAGAACTTTTTTCTCTAAGAACTTTGAAATGAAAGATATGAGTGAGGCATCCTATGTGAATGTAATTGAAATATTTCGTGATAGATCACAAGGTTTGTTAGGGTTGTCTCAAAAAACATATATCGAAAGAGTTCTTAAAAGATTCAATATGGAAGGATGCTTAGCAAGTGTTGCTCCAATTCAAAAAGGAGATAAATTTAGCCTTATGTGGTGTCCAAAGAATGATTTGGAACGTAAACAAATGGAATAAATTTCTTATGCATCTATTGTTGGAAGCATAATGTATGCTCAGACTTGAACCAGACCAGACATTAGCTTTGTTATCGGGATGCTGGGCAGGTATCAAAGTAATCCAGAAATAGATCATTGGAAAGCTGCAAAGAAAGTTTTGAGGTATCTATAAGGAACAAATGACTGCATGCTCACTTATAGAAGATCTAAAGATTTTGAAGTGATAGGATATTCAGATTCAGATTTTGTTGGATGTGTTGATACTAGAAAATCAACATTTGGTTATTTGTTCCCTTTTGCTCAAAGAGCAATCTCATGGAAAAGTGTGAAGCAGACTATTATAACTGCTTCCACTATGGAAGCTGAATTTGTGGCTTGCTTCGAAGCTACAATTCAGTGTTTATGACTGCAGAATTTTATTTCAAGACTTCGAATTATCGACAGTATTGCCAAGCCGCTGAAAATTTATTGTGATAACTCCGCAACAGTTTTCTTTTCCAAAAATGACAAGTATTCCAAAGGTGCTAAACACATGCAATTAAAATACATTGTCGTTATGGAAGAAGTTCAGAAACATAGGGTGTCAATTGAGCATATTAGCATCAATCTCATTATTGCAGATCCTTTGACGAAAGGGTTGTCACCGATGGCATTTAACAAACATGTTGTAAGAATGGGCATTACCGAAACCCTTTATTAGTTTTATGCTCTTGAATCTTTGACACTTTGAGCTCATTTTTTTTTTGTTTCTGATATTTATAAATCTTGTTTTTATCGTTGGAGTACACTTTATGTTGCATAATGTTCAACAAGATTTGTCATTTAATAGACATTATGGGACGATGATGTTAATTCTCATTACGCTAAGTATGAAATTGATATTGTGATACATGGAATGGACTGTATCGATAAATTGATGCACAACCATCATGATTCATATTAATTTCATATTTATTAAATAATTTATGATTTAACCAATATAAAGAAGGATTTATCTTACATTTTGTGCAGTATGTTATGCACTATTAAAATTAAGTGAGCCAAGTGGGGTAAATGTTATATTTTTATTTATGACTCACATTTATTTTAATAACTTATGAGATTTATTTTGATAACTTAAGTTATTTTTTTGTTATTTTGATAACTTAAGTTATTTATTTAACTCATAACTTATGTCATAAATTATGACAACTTATGATATTTATTTTGATAACTTAAGTTATTTATTTTCTTAACTCATAACTTATGTCATAACTTATGAGCTTATGACATTTATTTTGATAGCTTAAATTATTAATTTTCTTAACTCATAACTTATGTCATAACTTATGATATTGATAACTTATGATATTTATTTTTATTTATTTTTGTAACTCGTGATAACTTAAGTTATTAATTATCTTAACTCATAACTTATGATATTAATTTTATAGCTCTTGTAATCCCTTAATTGAATAAGTGTTACTAACTTATTTCATTAATTTTAATAATAATAAATCAATTAATTTATTAAATTATCATAAATCCTATTGGTTTGTAACTCCCTTAATGAATGGTGGTTAAATAGAGCATGATTTAGAGAATGAGTCATCTTTCTTCCTAACACACCATGTACATTTCCCTCCACAAGAAAGTACAGAAAGTTTCAAGGTATTAGAGAGAGAAACTCTATCTCTTCAAGATCAAATTTTTTCAAGATAAAAAATTTATCATCATGAATACAGGTACGTATTATTTTATTGTGGATATGTAAAAAATCATGAAAAGATCTTGGCAATTAAGTATTTAAAGAATTTTTGTCATAAAGTTCAAACATGATTTTCTAACAACCGCAACATGTATCGCCGACTTTCAATCACCAAGGCGATGACTTTGGGTAAAACCGGTAGAGAAGGGAAGAACCAGCTAGGGTTTCAAGTGGAAGAGAGAAAGAGAGGAGAAAATTTTAGGACTTTAAAAATACCCATCTAATTTTACAACGATGATGCATATTATTTTTTATTTTATAATTTTGCATCTTAAAATCTAGAACTAATAATCAATGTTGAGTACTCAAATTCTTACTTCAAATGACATTGCAATCTTTTTATTCTCGACGGCACGTCTGGTGTCACATCGTCATATATGCGTAAACGTATTTTTAGTTAATAAAAAAACAAATTAATTTAAATTATTTTATAAAACTTTAATAAGTATAAATTAGTTTAATAAATAAACAATTCATTATTAATTAATAAATGATAAATTGATATTTAATTTACTTAGTTTATTATAAATATTAATTTGTTCAATAAATATAATTATTTATCAGTATGATTATAATTAAAATATTTAATTTAACTTGATCAGATTTAAGAGGCGCACCTAAAATGTTGCTATTTACAAACTAAACCCCTTTTTTAGCTATTTTTAAAATTCTCACTCGAACATTAAATGTCATGATAAAACTCCAACCTATATTTTTTTTAATTTTATAAAATTTACAATGAATTGATCGTGACATGCATAAGTGCATCAATTTTATAGTTCAAAAAAATCACCTAAAAACATGATTTGTAAATAACAATATTTCTTATATTCTGTATTTAATTATGCTTACATTTAAATAGTTATATCACTAAAATATAATATTATATTTTTAACACTAAAAAATATTAGAAATAATATGATAATTTTTTTAAGATATAATTGAAGCATGGACTTTATATTTTATACAGAGATATGCTTCTAAAAATTTTAACCACTTAAACTCTTAAAAAAAGAATTAAATATTTTCTTAAAAATTTATCAGTATGTGCCAATTAATTTTGAGGGTTTAAATTAAATTAGATTTAAGAATTTCATAAATTTACAGAATTAATTTAATCTTATTTGCAAATTGCAACCAAACAGCCCTTAGGTTTTAAGGGCGGGAGGTTTTCCGATAAGGCTCCGCTCCACTCTGTGGCGCCACCGAATCCTCGCCGTTCCTCAAGCCCATGGAAGCAGTTGCTTCTCATTCCTTGCTTTCGTTTTCTTCCAATCTTTGGTGAGCTTCATCATCTGTCCACTTGTTGCTTTTGGCCGAACTTCTCTATCTCCTCGTAGCTGCATTCCGTGGAGAACTCCAATAATCTGTTAGGTTTTGAGTGGCAAAAGAGTTAAATTAAGGCCTCAATTTCTTATTATTTTTTATAATCAATCACATTGGAAGCTTACAAAATCATCTGATTTGTATCTATTATCTTTGATGCATTTTGTGATTTGTGTTCAGCGAAGCAAAAGTATACTGGAAGCCATGTCCGCAGAGGAAAAGAACCAATGTTAGTTTGGAGATATTTGCTCGTGGCATGCTGGCTCCGAGAAAGTTCATTCAAAGGAGGAAGAAAGAAGAGGTTTTTAAGGATGCTGCTGAAGAAACAAAGCAAAAGAGTTGGAGGAGAATGATGAGGGAGATTGAAGAGCAGGGATGTGCTGTGCAAGTTCTTAGGATTCAAAGAACCAAAGCGCAGGCACTTCCTAGAGATATTGTTCTTGGAACCCTTGTGAGATTTAAGCAGTTGAAGAAATGGGGCATTGTTGGTGAGGTATGGTCTTCAATACAGCCCTTTCTTTCTGCAAATCCTTTTTGTCAAGGTCTTGTTTGATTGGAGACGGTATGTTCACTGACTTGATACATCTGGAAGAAGGGAAGGGAAGGGAAGAAGATGAAGATCTGTTTCTGTCAGGGATTGGCCAAGCTGAGAAATAAGGATCGCTGATTGCTGCGATATCTTGTTATCGTTAGAAATAACTATGAGCTGCATTTAAAAACATGGATTTTGTTAATTTTGGGAAATCCGATGATCCCCTTGTCACTTGCCTGTGTTGGCAGCTTTGCATTGATTGGATATATTGGTATTTCAGGAGCTTTCACCTTGACTGAGGACATAAGATTTTAATTTTGTTATTGATATTTGAGTTCTTTTGTCTCCAAAATTTCATTATATTTTGTTAGACTTGTAATATTCCATGTTATTAGACATTAATTTTATTAGCAGATTATTTACAATTTTTTGTAGTTTATTTGAGGTTTGTTATATTAAAAAAAATCTTCCATTCCTATAAGAGCATCTGTGCCAAGTTGATTAAAGAGATGAAATACTAAATGAAGACATCAAAATTTGTTCTGTTTGACTAGAACAAGCTGTCCACAAGAAAGGAAAGGGGATCCAATCCAAATTAAGATTGAGAACAAATTGCTCTCATCCCCACCCCAGGTGCACCCAATCTAACAACAAAAAACCCAAATTTTCGAAGCCAATCAAACACAAAAATGTCCTAATATCTTGTATAAATTACAAAAGCCAAATAAGATAAATAATATACAAAGCAATCTAAATTCATAAGATGATCTCCACATATAATATCTGCATCATTAATTTGGTTATATGGTAATAATTCTCATCGCCTGTCGTGCGGTAGGACCACCATCTTTTTTCCATCGTTGCTGGTATATGCATATAGTATCATAACCACCTAATGCAGAGAATATTGCCTTTGTTTTACTTATATATAATAGTTATCCCCTATATACCTTTTAGCTATCTGATATGAAGTAAAAGCTAGGTTCTCTTGTCCTGTTTCATCTTCCTGTATATTCTTCTTTCTTTAATTGTTATTATGTTATTAGAGCAATTATGCTCTAACGAGCTTCGATTCTTCTTTGCATCGGATACTACAGTGTTAGCAATGGCATCTTTACAAACATCTGAAACTCGGGGTAATTCTTCCACTAAAGATGGACAAGTAGGTAGCAATCCTGGTATTCCACCTAATCTCAAATTCCTAATGAGCAATATTAAGAATATTACTCATACTCAACTCTACTCCAACAAATACCCTCCATAGAAAGGCCAAGTTGTCAAAATTTTTTTTTTGCCAATGGATTTTTGGTGTATCTGGATGGTACCAATCCTTGATCGCCCCAATTCCTTACCTCTGTAGACACTACCTGAACCCTCAACCCTTGGTACACTATGTGGATTCTTGTGGATCGAAACCTAACAGTTGTTTTCTACTCAATTATTTCATCGGCCATCTTATCATACATCCTTACTTTGTCGACCATAACAGAAGTATGGCTGACAATCTCCAAGTGCCTCCAACCTACTGACATATCTCAATTAATTCAGCTTAAAAACTAGCTCCACACTATGACAATGAACACTCAATCTATGGAAATCTCTAGCCAAAATCAAAACAGTGGTTAACAACATCTCTGCTGTTGGAGGTCACTTAGATAATGAGGATGTGATTTTTTACACACTTAATGGACTCCTGGCGCAATATCAATCATTCTAAACAGCCATACGGACTCAATTACAACCTATGGACCTAGACAATTTCTACTCATTATTGTGTAGTGAAGAGATCAACCAACTGAATGACACACTCAAGGCGGAACCCATCATTTTTCATCATTTTTAACAGTTGATAATAACATTTCCATCATTTTTAATTATGATATCTATATTTTTTATCCTCAGACAATTCGGATAATACTTCGCGGCAACAGTTCGAAAGGCAATACTCAATTCATACCATGGCTCCCACTTCTCGCATGGAAGTACCTCATAAATCTTTTGCTACAACTATTAAAGATCCACTCATCTGACATAAGCGACTAGGACATCCTCACTTGAACATTCTCCACCGCATCTCCAAGAAAAACTCTGCTCTTGCAATTTTAACAAACTTATTGTCATGTAAGATTTGTAATTGTAACAAATGCCACATGTTAAAACAAAAAGCCTCAATCACGAGTCAAATCAATAATACAAAAATTAGTCCAATTTGAGTCAAATTAAAAGCCCCAATCACGACATTAAACTTTTTTGAAGATTTTGAAACACATTTGGAAGGTCAAATATATGTGAAATTTGATGAGCTTATAATTGAATTGAGCGTCTCAGTGAGACGAATCCAACGAACCCAAGATCGCTCAATTCTGACATCATTAAAACACTTGAATGTCCATCAAATGTCATCTGATCGAGGAGAGCCTCTGAGTCGTCTGATCAAAATGGTTCATATTCTTGCATTAATTGCAACCAGAACTCTGTAAATAGAGTCTCACCCCTTTCATGAGAGGGGAAAAAAGCTTGAGAATTGAGCAAAAACTTGAAGCTTTGAGAATAAGTTGAAGTACAACATCATTATTGCCGCCGTCAACTTCCGCAGGCCATTGATGACTCTCGTCGAAAGCCATCAACTAGCACCAACCGTCGTCTACCGTGTCGTCCGCTGCTGATTGTTATCGGTCGTTGCCCGTTCCTTGCAACAAGGTCATCCGCACGTCAACTTTTTTATTCGGGAAACTTTGTAACATTTTCCCACTTATGGGATAAGGTGTCTTTGTAATCATCAACATATAGTGAATTTTTAGAACTGAGTCGGGCCTCGCGGTTGTTTTCCTTTACAAGCTATGTAAAAACTTCAGGTGCCTTTACTGGTTTTCTTTTATCAGAGTGTGTGTTGAATCTTCAAGCAAAACTAAGAAAATAATCCATTACTCTAATGCTGTGAAATGTATAGCACACATCATATGTAAATACTTTGCTTAACATACTAAAATGTTTTTGCGTTTTTATTTACCTGTCCAACTTATTTACTCGGATGTATGGGGAACGTCCTCAATTTTCTCTAATCAAGGATATAGATATTATGTTGTCTTTATTGATGATTATTCCAAATTTTGTTGGTTATTCCTAATGCGCCATAAATCTGAAACAACTCAGAAATGTATACTCTTCATAAAGATGATCAAAACTCAGTTTAAAACAACCATTTGTATACTCCACTCAAACGGCGGTGGGGAATACAACAACACCATCATTCACTCTTTCTTATCCCACAACGACATTCTTCACCTATTTACTTGCCCGTATACATCAGAACAAAACAGTGTTGCCAAACGCAAGCATCATTACCTAATTGAAACCACCAGAGCACTTCTCCACAACGCCTCCGTTCCATTTAATTTTTAGGTTGATGCACTCCAAACAACACTCTATCTAATTAATTGTATCCCTCAAAAAACAAGAACTTTGCCTTTCCCAATAAACGAGTATACAAACAACCTACAACCTACTCCCATCTAAGAGTGTTCGGTTGCCGTTGCTACCCATGGCTCAAGCATATGACGCCTCATAAGCTAGCACCTCGATCTACTCCATGTGTATTCCTTGGCTTCTCCTCCACACACAAAGGATTCAAATACTACAACCGTGACAAGATTGTGATATCTAAGCATGTAATATTCCATGAAAACATTTTTCCATTAAAAAATGCCACTACCCTACCTCCCTCATCTCTTGAGCAGTGGACTAATCCTTTCCTACCTCTACTGACATCCATCGCTCCTGCTAGCTCAACAAATCCAAGGATTACCTCATACACCCAAACTGTCAAGCTACCTCATTGCAGAAATGTCATGTTTGAGGAATTTAATCCTCTACAAGCGCAGGCTACTTGGGACTTAGTTTCACTCTCTCCAAACCAGGTGGTTCTCGGGTGTCACTAGACATATTGTACCAAATTCTATCATGATGTGATCGTGGCTCGGTATAAGGCTTGCCTTGTAGCTCAAGGCTATAACCAAGAATTTGGGGTCAACTATTCTGAGACCTTTAGTCCAGTTGTCAGCGGTTAAGGCCTTTTTTGCATGAAAGCCTTGAAGACACCATCTATATGCAACAACCGATAGGCTTCAAAGATCCTCAATTTTTAAATCACATATGTTTACTCAAGCAAGCATTATACGGCCAAAGACAGTTGCCTTGTCAATGGTTCGCCACAATCACTACACCATTCATCAAACGGGGCTTCCATATCAGTAAATCTGACCCATCACTGCTGCTCTCCTCCACAACCAGACACAAACTTTTTGTCTTAATTTATGCAGATGACATGGTAATCACAGGAAACAACATTGTTGTTATTGAAAGCCACAGACAACGGCTCCAATCTACCTTCCAAATCAAATATCTGTGTCAAGTATCCAAATTCTGGGGAATCCAGGTGAACCACACGCAAGAATTCATGTATCTGTCTCAACACCAATATCTCCAACGGATTCTACAAAACAAGGCAATGCTAGACTCCAAACTTGTAGCAACCCCTCTACCCGCAAAATGGCCTGAAACTACTACTCACCATGAATCCTATGATAATCCAACAAAATACAAGAAAATCGCTGACGCCCTTCAATACCTTACTATTACAAGACCGGATATTTCCTTTGCCGTCAATTATTTTTGCCAACATATGCATGAACTGCTGGCCTCTCACTATCAGCTTCTCAAACGCATGTTACACTATCTAAAAGGCTCCATTGGGTTTGCTCTCAGAATTTTGATTGCTCCCCTCACACTCTGAACTTACTCCGATGTAGATTGGGTTGAAGATTCATCTGACCAAAAATTTGTTACTGGCTTTTGTACCTTCTTGGTGAAACATCAATCTCGTGAACAGTCAAGAAACAACCCACAGTTGCTCACTCTTCCACGGAAGCTGAATACCGGGCCTTGGCTGCTGCAACCGCAGATCTTATTTGGCTTTGTAGTTTATTTGTGAAATTGTGCATTCACCAAGAATAGTCGACGCTCTCTTTTGTAACAACATATCAACTATGGCCATTGCCAATAACCCAGTTTTCCATGCCCGCACAAAGCACATCAAAATTTATTGCCTCTTCATTCAAGTACACATCCGGTCTGATCATCTTCAAGTACATTATATATATACCTAGGATCAACCGGCGGATATCTTTACTAAATCATTGCCTAAGCAACGTTTTCAACCCCTTCGCTCCAAGTTTCAGATCACTAGTGAGACCTTCAGCTTGTAGGCGGGGTAACATCAGCATCACTAGTTCGGGTATATGTTAATGCTTCTCATCACCTGTAGTACGGTAGGACGTTTTTCCATCATTATAGGTATACGCGTATAGTATCCATAACCACCTAATGCAGAGAATATTGCTTCTGTTTTACGTTTATGATGGTTATCCCATGTATACCTTTTAGCTATCTGATATGAAGTAAAAGTTGGGTTCTCTTCTCCTGTTTCATCTTCCTGTATCTTCTTCCTCCTTCAATTGTTATTAACATAGACCTCTTTAAGGAAGCCTAAACCTCTCTTGCTTTATCCCTTCCTCTTATCGAAAGCAATTACCTTTAGCTTTCAAACACATGCAAACTTCATGCCTCTATTTCAGTTTCCTATTCATAGCAGCTTAAGAAGTTTGGAATTCAAAAGCTAAATATTGCTCAAATAATAGAGCAACATTATGAACAATTCTTATCCAATAATAATGACAATAAATTTATGGTAAAATCACCTATTTTGAATTTTGTGCTTATAGTAGAAAATTTTTTAGGAATATCTTTAACATGTTAGTTTCTTCCCTATATAAATAAGGCAATTCTAAATCATGTGAGATAGTTTATAGCATGTTAAAGTTTTTATTGTGGATTTTCAGACGTCACTTCTTCATTCAGTTCAGCATTTTGATCTTTGATTAGGTTTGAGAATGCACTTTTCTAGGAGAGAGAATCTTCTTGTTCAAGAAGTAAGCTTTTTTATCTTATTATATTTTGTAATATTTGTCTTTTTACCTTCTCAATTATCACTTCTTAACCTTTCCAAGGTTATCCTGCATCAATCTTGTTAACACAGTATTCTAAACATGCTTAAAGATGTGTTTTGTGCTGATGGAAGAAGCATCAATGTGATAAAAAATGCACTTTATATGGATTTTATATGAACATTTTGTTACTTATTCCAGATTCTTGAATGGCTTAGGAGCCAGCATTGGTGGGACTTCAGTGAGATGGATTTTTTAATGCTTATAACAGCTTATGGAAAGACGGGGGATTTCAACCGGGCTGAGCGGGTCCTCAAGTATATGAACAAGAAAAGCTATACTCCAAATGTAATATCTTACACAGCCTTGATGGAAGCATATGGAAGAGCTGGACAGTACAGCAAGGCCGAAGCTATCTTTCGCCGGATGAAATCATCAGGGCCTGAGCCATCTCCTGTAACATATCAGATCATTCTTAAAACTTTCGTTGAGGTAATCCTTATCCCCATTTGTTTTCTTTTAATTTAGTATTTGGTAGTTGATCAGAAGATGTATATCATCTTAAGTGAAACAACTAAAGAAAATCATGCTATATATGCTGATTGAAGCATGGATTCCAAGAACTAGTTTTCTGTTCTTTTGATGTTTCCTAGCAGTTTCTGCAATATGGTGCTAATATTAACTCTGACAAGAACCTATTTTGGTAGATCCACAAAGATCTTATAATGCTATATGCTACTAGGTAAATTGCACATGCCCCAAGTGTAGTAATAAGGAGTCTCGGGACTCTTGAAATATTAAACAAACAATCAGATCAATCTTTATATTGTTCCTTTTCTGAGTTTTATAATCTGAATCCACTCAATAAAACCTACAAGGAGGTTTTAAGGCGTTGAATTTAAAAAAATTAATAAATGAATAAATTCATACTACTGAAAACTTACATGAATAAAAAAACAGTAGAAAAAGAAATTCTCATAAATAAAAATCAGATGTTACTTAATGATTTGGTCAATTATGTATGGAATGTGCGATTGAGCTTTGCACTTAGTTTTCTTAAAATGAAATTTTTTTTCATCCTGATTTGCAGTAAACCTTGGCTGGCCTTGTATTTACAAAAGGAGATGAAGGAAATGACATTTCATTGCAATGTCCGAGGTTTTATTATCAAATGTTTATGACTAATAAACATCTTTAAAAAAAATTATAATTGTTTATTACATTATGGAACAAAAATAAGGTGTCTAAGAACCAAGATTTTAGTAAGTGCTTTGGGCTAGTTGCTCCTCCACAAAAAGAATTTATAAAAGGAAATCCACCTTATTACTCTTTGTTGGGTATGGCTCATAATACTAGAATTTGGAGTCTCTTTGAATGAAGAGATGTCTCTTGGAATTTAGTGAGTTGGGGAGAGCGAGGGTGCAGCGGAAGCGTGGTGGCCCAACCCACACTTGTGCATAAGAAACTCTATGATAAATTTTCTCCTGAGAGATTGGATATTCGCCAAGGTGGAGATTTGTTAGGCATATGTATTTCTTCTAAGGGGCTCGATATTCGTCAAGGTGGAGATTTGTTGGGTATATGTATTTCTCCTAAGGGACTGGATATTCGCCAAGGTGGAGATTTGTTAAGTATGACTCATATACCATAAATGGGACAGATGTTGGAGCAGAGCGGAGCCCACGATTGGAGTGGAGCGGAAGGATCTGTCCAATCGAGGGAGTTTCATTATGTGGGTTGGGGGTGCGGGGGCAACACCCTGCAGTTTGGTACAGAGGTAATTTAAGTAATTACATATTGTACTATATTATTATATATATGTTCTGTCTGTAACTCTAGATAAGCTGCTTTGAGAGAGTTGAATCTTGTATTTTGTAATCTTTTCTGAATATTAAAAAAGATGTCGCCGCTCTGCTCCCGAGAATGTAGGCATTTTTGCCAAACCTCGTAAATCTCTGTGTGTTCTTCTGGATTTGTCTCGATTCCTAGTTTTTTTTCGCCTTAATTTCTCAAAAAGTGGTATCAGAGCCTGGTTCGAGGGCGGGGAAGAAAAATTTCGGCGGCGCAGGAATAAAGAAAATTTTGGCAGAGGAGATTGGCAGCTAGGGAAGATTTCGGCAAGGTTCGCGGTAGGTTCGCGGCAGTTCGGATTTCGGCGCAGAGGAAGTTCGAAGATGAAGAGGGCTTCGGATGGTTCGGCAGGAAGACGAGGGTTTTTCCATAAAGGCTTCAAGTGCGACACCAGGCGCGCGCGAATAGTATTGAGTTCGGCGAAGCTTCGGAGGATTTGGCGTAGGAAGGCGTCAGCAAGATCGACAGAGGCGCAGGAAGGAGTCGGCGAGATCTACAGAGGAATCGCGGCGTTCGCAATCGCAACAGAGGAATCGCGGCTTCGGCTTTAGCGGTTCGGACGGGCTTCGATTTGACGAGAGGTTTCGACGCCGGGCGAAGTCGCTACAGGCAGAAAAGGAAAGTTCTACGTTAGCCTGGAGTGGAGGCGAAAATTGAAAGCTCCGATTTCATTCCTTTGCTGAAGGCAGAAGAAAATTGGAAGGAAATCAAGTTCCGATCTTATTGCGGAGAATAAAATTGAAACAGAAATCAAGTTCCGATTTTATTCCTTTGTGGGAGGAGGAGAAGAAAATTGGAAGGAAATAAGTTCCGATTTTATTTTTTTGCTGCGGAGAAGAAATTTGGATGAGATATTTTCCAGATTTCTCTAGAGGCAATAAAGGAAATTTCCTACTATTAATCAGAAAAATCTTGCTGCACGCAAAGATTTTTCTCTGCATGCGAAGATTTTTCAAGACGCAGGAAAGACAAGGAAAGAGATTCTGCTTTTGCACTCGGGAAAAGAAAGATTTTTTTCTGGAAGGAAATCGGAGGCGGAGTTTTTCTGGAAGGAAAGCGGAAACGAAGCTTATTTGAGAAGGAAAACGATGTTTTTCTGGAAAGCAGGGGTAGAGCTTTTCTTGGAAGTTTAAGGAAAATGATTTCTAAGAAAGTTTAATTATTGAAAATTTAATGAAGGGAAAGTTATTTTTCTGGAAACTTAATTAAGGAAATCTTAATTAAGGAATTATTTAAAAAGATTTGCGGCCCAACCCACATTGGTGCATAAGAAACTTCATGATATATTTCTCCTAAGAGGCTGAATATTCGCCAAGGTGGAGATTTGTTAGGTATGACTCATAATACCAAAATTTGGAGTCTCTTGGAATGAAGAGATATCTCTTGGATTTGAAGAGAAGTGTCTCTTGGAATTTAGTGGGTTGGGGGGAGCGAGGGCGCAGCGGAAGCATGGTGGCCCAACCTACACTAGTGCATAAGAAACTCCATGATGTATTTTCTCCTGAGATGCTGGATATTCGCCAAACTGGAGATTTGTTAGGCATATGTATTTCTCCTAAAGGGCTGGATATTCGCCAATGTGAAGATTTGTTGGATATATGTATTTCTCCTAAGGGGTTGGATATTCGCCAAGGTAGAGATTTGTTGGTATGACTCATATACCATAAATGGGACAGATGCTGGAGCGGAGTAGAGCCCACGAGCGGAGTGGAGCGGAAGGATCTGTCAAATCTGGGGAGTTTCATTATCTGGGTTGGGGGTGCGGGGGGCAACACACCGCGGTTTGGTACAGGGGTAATTTAAGTAATTACATAACATACTATATGATAATATATATGTCTTGTCTGTAACCCTAGGTAAGCTGAATTTTGTATTCTGTACTCTTTTCTGAATATTGAAAAGAATGAAAAGAAAAAAGAAAGTCGCCGCTCTGCTCCTGAGGATGTAGGCATCTTTGTCGAATCTCGTAAATCTCTGTGTGTTCTTCTGGATTTGTCTCGATTCCTAGTTTTTCTTCTCCCTAATTTCTCAACACTCTTTATATAAAATTAATTGAATTTATTAAAGATTTTGCAATTTGTTAATTACTAGAGTTCTTCAAAACACGAGCTTTGGCACAAGTTAACAGGAAATTGTATCCTTAAACACATGGTGCTCCAATATAATCATTGTTATGTGCTATTTTGGCCTTCAAGGTTTGGAGTAGTTTTAGTTCATGTTTGATTTAATATTGATAAATGCTTTATTGAAAAGAAAAATTGGCCACTTCTTATTGTTATGACCTGCAAATGATAGTTTACTAAACCTCTTTCATTGTTATTATAGAATGATACAATATCGTTTTGAAGTTCTCCAAGTAAATTATGAAGATTATCATTTTAACTCTAAATGAAACTTTCTTTTTTTTAATAACACGACATAGATGTTTTATGACAGGCAAACAAATTTGGGGAAGCTGCAGCAGTTTTCCAAAATCTTTTGAGTGAGGAGAGGGCAACTTTTATGCCTGACCAGAAAATGTTCCATATGATGATTTACATGTACAGAAAGGCTGGCAATTACGACCAGGCTCGTAAAATATTTTCCCAAATGTCTGAAAAGGGGATTCCACAAAGTACTGTTAGCTTTAATAGCCTAATGTCTTTTGAAACTAGCTACAAGGAGGTTTCGAGTATATATGACCAGGTATTGTAACTCTTTCAGCATTCTGTTCCCCTCTTTTCTTCAAACAAAATTCGATTCAATTCCCAACCGGATATTTGCTTAAGAAATGTGATGCCTCAGGATTAAATTGGCCATATATGAATAATTGTGGGACTATTTAGGGGTTTATTTATGGAGGCAAACACAATATAAGTGACTGAAATTAAACCTTCAGGATTTTTAGAAAAAAAAAATTGCAGATTGAATTTGAGACGTAAAATCATCTTTTGTGACTGATATTTCTGAATGCATGATAGCAGCTTGACAGAAAAAATGAAATGTACGGACTTGGGAGGGGAGATGAGATTCACATATGTTGTTGTTTGTTTATAATTGTTCGTCATTTTCATTTAAAAAAAAGCCAACGGACTAACTTTTCTAAAAGAAAAAGGGATTTAATTCTAAAATTGAGTGCCGGATTGCTAGATTATATTCATCAAACACTGTCTTCTAGTTCCAGTCTCTTAGGGTTGTTTAGGATCATTTTTGTTTGTCCCTTTCTGTTTTTATTTTAAAAATATGTTTGGTTACTGTATTTTTTCTTCCTTCTTTTCCTTTTTTTTTTTTTACAAAATATATTAGCTTGTTTTTAAAAATACTCTAAACACTTAAAAGTTGTTTTGGGTGTTTTTAAAAACAACCAACCATGTTATAACATGGTATGTTTCATTTCAAATAAAAACATAAACAAAACAAAATAAAAATCAAAAGTGATCCCAAACACCCCTTTAAATTCTAAAATTAATGAGCCTCTCCAGATGCAACGATCCGGGCTCAGACCTGATGTGGTGAGCTATACACTTCTAATCAGTGCGTATGGGAAGGCCAGGAGAGAGGATGAAGCTTTGGCTGTTTTTGAGGAGATGCTAAGTGCTGGTGTCAGGTGCTTGCTTTTCCGGTTACTTTTAACTCAGACCATTTTATTTGTGGATACTACTTTTGTTCTTCTTATACATCATTATTCCTATCTGCTGTAGATTTCATGATTTCCGAAGGTGTCTTTTATTTTGAGCATATAAAGTCATCATGGGCCCAATTATAAACGAAGTATTGTATGAATGTGATTATCAATTACATTTGTAAAATGGGTGCACAAATGGCAACATGGTCGGATTTTTCAAAAATAGTATGACAAAAGGGATAAACTAATGATAACACATTACTCAAAATACTAGAAAACACAGTCTATTCATATAGTAGTTGTCATCATATGCATCCTCTACACAGAATAAACTAAAAGAAAAGGGGTAAATGACAATGACAAAATTCATTATGCTCGTGACTTTCTGTCATTTTGACGAGTTCACTCTTTCAGATTTCTATCATCACATAAACTTTTATATTTACACTTAGCACTCAAATATTTAATATCACATCAAAAATAGTTCTATTATAACATAGGTTTAAAAGACCAAAGTTACGTGAGATATGTGAATACATAAGAATTGTGTACTAGGTATGCAATTTACCCATTCTTGTATGCTGTAGCTTCTGATTCATATTTTCTATTGTCAGGCCAACACGCAAAGCATACAACATTTTGCTGGACGCATTTGCAATTTCTGGGATGTTACAGGAAGCGAAGACTGTTTTCAAGAGCATGAGAAGAGACAAGTATGGCCATTTTCCCTTCTCAACATCCATAACAAGGCTAACTTTTCTCTGTTCTCCATTATCATTTTTCACTTTTTCTATTTTACAGAGTGACTCCAGATCTCTGTTCTTACGCAACAATGATTGCCGCATATGTCAATGCTTCTGACATGGATGGAGCAGAAAAATTCTTCCGCCGCTTGAAAGAAGATGGTTTAAAACCTAATGCTATTGTCTATGGAACGCTGATGAAAGGTTATGCAAAGGCAAATAATGTTGAAAGAGTGATGCGTGTATATGAGAGAATGAGGCTGCAAGGTGTTGAACCTAATCAAACAATATATACTATCATCATGGATTCATATGGTAAGAACTCAGATTTTGGAAGTGCTGTTATTTGGTTCAAGGAGATGAGGAGATGTGGGCTCCCTCCTGACCAGAAAGCAAAGAACATTCTTTTGTCTCTTGCAAAAACACCGGAAGAACAGAAGGAAGCGAATGAGCTCGTGGTTAATACGGCCAGTGGTATCTGCAAGCCAACGGGCGGGAAATCCGGCGAGTTTGATGGCGATTATGTTGAAGGGACAGTTGAAGATCAGCCTTCGTTTGGTGACAAGGAAGCTAAGGTTTGTCTCATGGAAAGGGGGACAAGTAAACATCTGTATGTTGGGGATGATAGTGATGATGAGGAGGAAGATGAAGAGGATGAGGATTTAGATTTTGTTTCTTTTGAAGAAAAGGAAGAACTTTTAGTTGCCAAACAATTATTTGATTCTGAATGTGAAAATTAAAGTGGTGAATGAATTCTTAAAAATTGTTTGTTGAGGCATTCTTGCAGATGTTTGTGTTTCAACTTGAAATGATGTTGTTTTGTGACTTTCTTTTGTACTTACTGTCAAAGTATGGTCATCTTGATGGAATGTGCCGATCATTTTCTAAAGATGTAAAGGTGCATGGCATTAAAAAGGGGGTGGGTGGGGTTGGGTTTGATTTCTACTAGGCTGTTTGGATAACTGCTGTTTTTTTTTTTTTTTTTGGGTTTATGCTTTGATTTAGATTACAATATATTTGGTAAGTTTAAAATAAAATAAGATTGTTTTTAAAAATTCAAAGTATTACAACAACAACGACAAAGCCTTAGTCACACTATGTGGGGTCGGCTATATGAATCATTTTTCTTAATTGGGTCATATTTAGTGTCATATTTTCATTTAGCTCTCGTAAATTAAGATCATTTTTTATATACTAAGCCCAAATTTTCCTAGGTCTACCTTCGTCTTTCTTTACACAAGCCGAATCTAAAACATCTACTCTCCTAATCGAATCATCAGATGGTCGACGTTTCATGTGACCAAAACATCTAAGACACTACCTCTAATTTTACCTGTCACATAAGCTAAAATTTTCTATTTTGTTATTTTGAATGAATCTAACTAATCTAAAATAATTAGTCAAAATAGTAATCCCCTCACTAAAGATCTTCTAATAACTGTTAAATCTTAACCTAATTTTTGTCAGGATCAGCTTGCAAATCTTTGCCAACTCTAACCGTTTTTATGCTAGATAGGCCTTTTAAAAATTATTAGCAAATATAAGCCACAGCAAGATATGCCATTGACATGCATATCTATTATAATCGCTGTTGTATGGCATGTCGTACCGATTGTAAAAATGGTGCATACCTATATATGCCATGTAAATGCATATCTAGGGGATCCACCAAGCATGAATCGTACGGCATCATAAAGTGGTGATCCTTTGCATATGATTATAACACCAAAATATTATAAATAGAAATATCAAAGATCAGTGTTAAGTTAGATATCTAAATCCATTAAAATTGTTGCATGCAAGCAGATGCCTAATTTCAAAATATAAGTAATTTAGTGATTATTTCATGGGTTCAGATAAGATCTTTAATTAAAAAAAAAACTGCCAAACACCATAAACGATGTGTAAAATAAGCCAGCGAAATAAAAAAAAAAGTTTGTTTTTGAATCAAAACAAGCAACTTACGGGGCAGGTCTAACTCATAACAAGCATGCACTAAAATACAAACCGTGATACTTAACGACAAATGTAATTAATGTACAACATTTGATCATAAAAACATTTATACTGATCATTTAAATACTAAGGCTGAGAAGTCGGCTCGATCAAAATACCAAAAATAATATAAAATAAGGAAAATATATCCTTATCAGCACACAATTACTTTCATGAAACTTAAACTCAATACTCTCCAGAAATTAAAATAAATAAACAAAATAACAAAGTATTAAAAGTTGCAACATATTGCAGACAAGATTGACTAAGCAAAACTGGGCAGCCATACGGTGACTTTAACAAGCTACAGGAATGGATAGAAGACGCCTTCAGCATCTGAAGCAGCAAGAGGAAGATGAAGCTTATCTTTAGTAATCCCCAAAGGTAGTTTTCTTCCCTTCAAAAAAGAAAAAAAAAAAAATTCAACAATCAGTAATTTTTTTTTCTTTTGCCAAAGAAACTGAAAATTTTTCCATCATTCAAATCTAAATTTAAGCGTTATATAACAAAAATGGTTAGCCATGAAAGAACCCACAAGAAAATCGTGCAATAAAAATGTAAATTTGACTGCAATTTCCATAACAAAATTTAAGAAATCAATAAGTGCAAATAACCTTGGCTGGGTGTGCCAGCACCAAAACGACCGCCACTACCCCTGCCACGACGACCGCCACCATCGCGTCCCCTGCCACCACCACGGCCTCCACCCCAGCCGCCACCATCTCTGCCGCCGCGGCCACCACGACGACCACCTCCCCGGCCACCACTCCAACCACCGCCATCTCTGCCACCACCACGGCCTCCACTCCCCCCATCGCCCCTCGGTTTCGCTTCATCCACAGTCAGGGAGTAGCCTCCAAGTTCAGAGCCAGATAGCTCGAGAGCCTTGGAGAAAGCTTCCTCGGTATTGAAGTCAAGGTATCCAATACTGCAAAGAAAAATTATATGCAATTTAATGCCATCTCAATAAAGCAGCAGACAACTATGAACTTTTTTCCAAATAAATTGAAAAAAAAAAAAAAAAACTGACCCTTTAGAACCTCCAGTATCATAGTCTCTGGGTAAAGAAATTCGTGAAATCTCTCCACACGTGCCAAAATACTCTTTAAGTGAACTTTCAATCTGCATTAAACGTCCACGCTCAGCGCTAAAATAAATTCAAGAAAACAAATGAAATTTGGAGAAACGTAACAGTAAAAAAAAATTACCTGATCCATCTCGAGTGATTTGTCGAAACCTCTCACAAATATGGTATAGCTCTGACCTTTTTCAGGCTTCTGGAAAGATCTATTTTCCATCCAGATATATAAAGAGCATAATTAGCAATAAAACAAAAAACAAAGAGTATAGATACTCCCAAATGTTACAAGTGCTAGTAAAAATAAGGTTTCAAATGATTTTTTAAAATCAACTCAAATGCGGCCAGCAAATTTCAGTAATCCTGGACAAGGCATTCTTGTGTGTGTGTGTGGTAATTTTATTTACATGGTTACTAGGCAGCACAAAAGTTGTCAATATTTTCTGTTTAAAAAAAAATACAGGATTTGGTCAGCTTGATTAAATACCTGGCATAATTACATACAGACCACTCGAAATATTGATATTTACAAAGTAACCACCTAGGTGATTTTTTTGGAACTATCAAACCCATGTATTTAGGCACGCCACGAAAAAATTACTGAGAATTTGATAAAAATTTAAAACATGGGTTGGGGTTTTGCCATGAATTTTGATAGTTGAGTGAGAATTTGAAACAAAAATAAAAAAGGTTGGTTGCTTTGTAAATAACAAATTTCAGGTGGTCTGTATGTACTTGCCCCTAAATATTTATTTTATGGAATTTATCCTACATTTATACAAACTTGCAGGAATATCTGAGAATTTTATCACATCCTAAATTGATGGTCAATACCTTGGCTCGGTTACTATTTAAGCCACCAAGATATCGAATTGTTCGTGAACTTGGCTATTAGGCTTGGTGCCTTACTCAAACGCCTGAATAGATGCAACTTTTGAAGCTAACTCTCATTTTCTTAAAGATTTTGCCAAATCACATGTCTCATTAGCTAATTGTTCCAAGTCCAGGGCAAAGTTCTAATTATATATATATATATATATGATAATCTAATATTTGATAGAACACAACATGCAATATTTTTCCAATTCTAAATTTTGAAATTCTAATGGCTAGTGCACAACTTTTTTTATGAATTTCGCTCCTTAAAATCTGAAGTAGTTTTCTTCAATTTACTATGATAAAAAATGTTCAAACACTACAGAAACATATATAAATCATATTATTTCAAATTTGAGAGAGCCGAGAAAATACCCGCTGTTAGGGGTGTATGAGCCCCGTTCCCCACGCTCACGTGCCAAATCAAGTCGTACCAAACGACCCATAAGTTCTTGGCCATTAAAATCATTCAATGCCTATCAAAACAAGGGCAAAAATCAGTTTAAAGCAATGATTTGCAGGAAGCTGAGAGAAAATATCTTTAAACTTGAACAAAGCACCCAACAGACAATGAGAATAGGAAAAAAGAGATTTTTTTAAATTAACAAGTTGCCTTTTGGGCCGCTTCTGCAGTGGCAAACTCAACATGCCCAAAACCCTTGAACTGTCCATCATCAAATTTGGCTAACCGAACATCAGTAACTTCTCCTGCCTCTTTGAAGAACTCAAATCTTATAAGAGAGAAAAAAGAAAGATTATTAAAATAAAACCTACAGGGGGAAAAGTAACAAAGAAAGTACAAGCACATACATTTCATCCTCTCCAACGTCATAGGACAAGTTTCCAACAAAAAGCGTCTTTGGTCCAGATGATACATTTTGATTACCCGCAGGAGTCTTTTCCTAGAATTAAATAGAGCATTAAATCTCTAACTTCTTAAAAATACTTTTTAAAAATTAAGAATAAAATAAATGAGAAAAACAATAAAATACCACTTTCTTATCAAACTTTTTAGCAATTTGATCTGTAGGTTCATCCTTCTTCTTCAAGTTGGTTTCCTGCAATTTTATTCAAATAATCAACCAAAGAAGCATACTTATAATAACCATCAATAGCTAATCAATTAGAAACTATTTAAAAACCTCAGTCAACAGTAAGAAAATGCATTAAAATTTTCTGATAAGTTTTAAACAACTTCCATTGGTTTTGATAGTATAAACTTAAGTTTTCACAGAGAGAAGAAATAAAGAGGCAGAAAACATACTTTCTTTGCAGGCGTCTTTGCTGGCTGCACATCTTCACTTTCATCAGAAGAATCTTCTTCGGAAGATTCCTCATCAGAGCTGCTACTCTTCATAGTTTGTTTAGTTGGCTGGCAAGTATATGAAAAAGCACAAATATTAACATTATTACTAAAAAAATATTTAAAAGCCCTCCAATGCATAAAAGCATTCTATTGAAATTATGAAATAATAATCAATAGAATAGTTGAACATGTCTACCTTGTTTTGTTGTGCCTTCGGAGTCTCTTCATCAGAACTGTCTTCAGAGCTGTCACCCTCATCACTGTTGCTGCTCTCTTTTTTGGCACTCTTAATGGCAGGCTTGCTAGCATTCAATCCAGTAGTTTCCTACAGCAATTGTATTATTAGCAGGCAATACTTAAATACAAGTTTACTCAAAGAGATAGATTCACGAACAAATGAAAATGCATACAGGTACTTTTAGTTTCTTTCTCTGTGGTTCCTCGTCACTATCGCTAGAGCTCTCATCAGAACTCTCTTCCACCTTCGCCTTGCTTAGTGGTTTCTGAAACGATAAAAGAGAACCCAAAAATCAATAAAAATTTAGGATTCCTCTAGCATTCCTCCAATAGTTTCCTACAGCAATGATATTATTAGCAGGCAACATTAGAAAACAAGTTTATACAACAATTTGAAACATAGATTCACGAACACATGAAAATGCATACAGGTACTTCTAGTTTCTTTGTCTGTGGTTCCTCGTCACTCTCATCAGAACTTTCTTCAGAACTCTCTTCCACTTTCGCTTTGCTTAATGGTTTCTGAAACAACAAAAAAGAACCCAAAAATCAATAAAAAATAGAGCTCCACTAGCAGACAAAAGTTCAAAGATATTGTGCAATTTTGATTGTAAATAACAAGCAAGATCGTTATAATTAAAGGCAAACAAAAAACAAAACTTGAAAAATAGACTGGATGAAAAAAAAATGCATTAGAAGACAAAATAGGAAATAAAAATAAAACTAAAGCCTTGTTTGACATCACTTTTGTTTTTTTGTATTTTACATTTGTTTTTAGTTTTTTAAAAAAAACATGTTTGTTTAGTGCAATTTTTTTTGCATGTTTTAATCTTTCATTTTTAAAAATAAATTAGCTTTCTTAAAAAAAAAAACACTCAAAAACATCAAAAAGTTGATTGGACTATTTTTTTTCATGTTTTAATCTTTTGTTTTTAAAAACAAATTAGCTTGTTTTTAGAAACATTTAAAAACATCTAAAAGTTGATTGAAGTGTTTTTAAAAACTTTACGTGTTACATCATAACAAACATGTTTTGTTTTAAATCAACAAATAAATAAAATAGAAATCAAAATTGAAAGCCATCCCAGACGGCCCCCAAGTAAATAATATTTCATATCCAAACACTTTTATAACAACGTTTGAGCAATAATCATTAAAAATAATAATAATAATAATAATAATAAGGATGTGGCAAAATGGCAAAATACAAACACTAGAATAGGAATCATCCATAGCCGATCCAATCGGATCTGCAGTTATTGCAAAGTAGGCCAACCAGAGCAGCCAGCTCTATGAGTCTAGGCCAATGAAGATGTAATGAATGTTAAACAAAAAAAAAAAAAAAAAAAAAAAGGAGCTCAAATTCTTTACACAAAAATAAAATAAGAGAATTTGAACCTAATGCATTGATTGATTAAGTCCAAATAAATTAGTACAAAATAAAGAACTATTAAAATAAGTGGGCAATTAAATTTTTAAACCACGATTGAAATCCCAATAATATCAAATTCATGAAAATCAAGAGCTAGAGCAAAAAATGATAACAACATCTTTAAAAAAGAAATAATGAATGAAAGATTTTAACAAAATAAACAATATATAGGCCTCATGTCAGAAAGAGAGAACTTTCTAAAGAGGTTGCTAAGTGCACCTGCAGCACACTAGAAACACACATCTAATAATCAAAAAAAGAAGAAGAAAAAGTTTCACCAAAACTTTATTCAATACAAGCTAAATAATTGCATGCAACAAGTAAATTATAGTTTCTTCAACATCTATCATAGGATTGTTTAGTGAAAATACATAAAGCTAAGTAGCAAAAATCATACATGAAACATATATGGTACACGCAAATGCCGATAGATTTAGAATGGACTGCATAATAATATAAGCACAATGACATAAATTAACTTCAATGTAGCTAAGTAGAAGAAATGGTACAATGATAGATCGCCATTTTTAACAAGATATTAACAAATTGGTAATCAATACTCAATGATTCTGCACAAACAGCATGAAAAAGAAATACCAGCAAACCAGCATAATGCCAAGTTATGAATTTATCTTTAGCAAGTTACTGAGCTTTATCAAGAACCAAATCAATCCATCCAACTATAAACTAAGCCAACTGATCCGAAAACTATAAGACATGCACGTCCTAATAGGGCTTCCGTTATATGCATATCCAGAATAACTGAAAACTGAGAAATTATTAAAAAATATATGAAGCTCAAATCACTTTTAGCCGAAGTTTCAGTTCAACGTAAACACTGCTCTTCATCAAACCTGTTAGGCTTGGACAAATTCAACTTCAGCAAATATAACCGTTATGATTCATCAAACAACTCGTGAAATAGCATGTCCTTCATACAAATTAATCCATGAGCCATCACAGAAACGTCATGCTAGTCCACTAAAGACCGGTGTTGTCTACTAAGCCTTTAATGAATAACTGTTCAGCAAACAAGCACCTCTTTCCGCAGTTCTCCCAAGTGATAGTCACAGTTACAAATTTTAAGGAAAATTCTAGCAATGTAAAAACCACCACTACAAAGATAAGCCCTTTTTCTTGCCAACATGTTCTCCCAAGAAAATTAGCATGGTCATCCTCAATTCTTACTACAATAATTGCTGGAGTGTGATGTTGCCCCAACTGTGACCTTAGAGACGATCAAAACTACAGCTTGTTTCAAAAAGGAAAGAAGAAAGAAAAGCAAGAATAAGCAATCAAATATGAGAACAAGCAATGTTGAAGAAGAACCATTGTGCAAAATCATCTTGAAAAACAATATTTTATATATTTCAAAATGAGGGGGAAATGCAAGTTCAATGTCAATGGTCGAATTAAAATTATGGATGAAGCTAAGAAGATTTACAATTAAATAAACTTTGGATGAAAAGATGTTAAACTGAAGCTAATATTTCATTTGGAAAACCACAAATCTATTCAAATTGCCAATCAACCATTATGAGGATATCCATCAACAAGGTAAATGTTGAGATATATATCTCATTTTAAGGGGTCTAATTGTAAATAGGAAATAAAGAAGTCTATGGTTATTTGTAAAAAAATTGTAGGACTCTATAGAAGCCCAACTCATCAATAAAAAAAGAAGTAATCATTCCTTCAAAACAATTTCTTCATGGTATCGGAACACTAATCCTAGCAGTTGGTTGTTGTAGTCAACGGGATCGCGGCTCGGTGCAAGCGACCGCGACAAGGAGCATACCCTTATGCTCTGTCATCGCAAAGCAACAGCAACTGGGAAGACAAAGACGGAATCGCGCCTTGCCATGAAGACAACAACGTGATAGCAGTTTTCTAGCAAGGAAAAGACACGATCACGGCAAACTGGGAAGGGACAAAGGAGACAGTGAGAGGGTTTTGACACAAGGTGTGGAATACGGCTTCTACGCAGAGAGGAGCAAGTCGTTGCGAGGCAAGGAGGAGCGGCTCTAGCATGCAAGATAGGGCAGAGCGGAGGAAGAGTAAGGAGTGTGGCGTTGCTTTGGTGATCTTAATGTGGAAACTTTTTTTTTTCGATTACCCTAACTACAATTGTCCTGTGAGTGGGATGAAGGAACATTGGTGAGGAGAGAGCGGTAGGGAGGAGGAGGAAGATAGGGACGGTTTCGATGGAGGAAGATGGGGACGGTTTCGATGGAGGATGCAAGGAATTATGAAGATCTTTGTGCGTTGGGATTCAATCGTTGCCTTCCTTGCTAGTCAAGACCAAGGCCAGTGAAGCGGAATCAGACTCGTGCGCCACAAGAAAAAGACAGACAAAAGAAAGGGCTTCAGTGCCGATTGTAGAGAGGAGAACGGTGTGAGGTAGGGAGGAGAGGTAAATGTTCGCAAACAGAAGCAGCGTGAATAGTGCTCGCGTGAAATGAGAAGTTTGAGTGCCTCTCCCACAATAAAACAAGGGGTTTTAAAAGATCTTTGTATGTCGTGACTCTGTCATTGTTGTAAACGAAAGAGGTAGCAATGAAGGAGAGAAATTTGGTTCTAAATGTGTAAGAAACCGATGAAGGCCGAGAAATGGTTATATTGGTGATACAGAAGAAGAGTCGCATGAGACTACACTCTGAGCATAGTAGACTTCCAGGTACGCAATCAGCTTTGGCTCCATCGAGTTCAGGTATGACAGATAACCAGGGAAAGACTCGTGGGTGGTATAACTGTGAAGTGGGACACTTGAGCATGGCTTGTCCAAAGCCACCAAGGAGAGACTGGTGGACGTGAACAGTATAGAGGTCATGATCGTAATCGTGGGGGCCCAAGGGTTAGAGGGGGAGGCTACCAGGAAAATCTAATGGTAGCAAAGAATGAGAGAAAAATAAGAGTAGTCTTTGTGGATAAGGATCATGATTTTCTGGAAATGTTGAAGAGGAAGATGAGAGCAGCAAGTAATGTGACTGACGATGCATCCACCTTATCATCATCCAAAGCGAACAAAGACAGTTATGCATACTCATACAAAGGTACTTTTGATACACATGTTCTTGTCTCAATATCCACCACAAGATCACCATAATTGATAGTAGATTATAGTGAATATCGACATGTGATTGTTGTCGCTAGTGAGTTCTCTCCTTATACTTACCTAACAGTTCTAGTGAGCATTCAAACTGTTGATGGTACAACAAAACTTATGGTTGGTAAGGGTACAGTGAAGTGTATTAATTTTATAATTTTGTCTAAAGTTTTACATGCTCATTCCTTTCAGTGAATCTTTTATCCACTATCATTATATTCCAACTAAAATGTGTTGTTTCATTTGATATTCCAAAGGTGATCTTTCAAAAGAAGGTGACTGTCTAAGGAGTTGGGATTGAAACGTGACATAGTGGACGTTGGTACTTAGATAGAGAGGTAACGGGCTTAGCCTTGGCAATAATAGTTGAGAATGTTGCCAACAGGAGGATCTGAGAGAAGCGTGGAGGATGTTTTCTTCCTAAATCACAGGGGCATGGGACAATCTTCATTTAGTCTATTAGATCGTTTGTGTTCATCCTTGTATGAAAAAGCAAATAAACAAAAACGTGTGTGATGCTTGTGAGTTTGGTAAGCATTTCAAGAGCTCTTTTGTTAGTTCTGGCAAAAAGCATTCTTATGCTTTTGATTTGGTGCACTCAGATGTAGGGGGACCTTGTTCTACAACTTCTATGGATGGTTACAGCTATTTTGTTACTTTAATTGATTATTTTTCTAATGTTACTTAGTTATATCTAATGAGAAACAAATGTGCTTGCCTATTTTGAAGTCTTTGACAGGACGATTTAGACGCAATACGGTGCAGTAGTGAAAGTATTGAGAATGAGATAGAATATACCAACAAGGCGTTTGAGAAATATTTGTCAGCACAATGAATATAGTATCAAACTACAAGTTCATATACACCGACATAAAACGGAGTAACAAAGAAAAAGAATAAACACCTTCTAGAGGTTGCTCGAAGCATGATCACGATGAAAGTCCAAAGCACTTGTGGGAGCAAGCAGTTTTGACATTGGCTAAATTAATCAACAGAATGCGCTCGATAGAGTTGGATTGTAAGTTGAAATAAGATAAAAGTGGGATCCTCCCATTGAAGATTTTTTATTGTGTATGTTTTGTGAATGATAACAGACCATCAAAGGGAAAACTATATCCTAAAGCTGTGAAGTTTGTTCTCGTGGATTATTCTGCTACACATAAGAGATGTTTTTTGGAATCTGATATAGAAGAGATTTATTGTAAGCATGGATGTGTCCTTTAGAGAGTTTGAATCTTACTACACCATGGAGGTGACCTCGCCTTTGGGTGACTCATCAGATACTAAAGGTATGAGGCGTGAGGCGTGAGGCGTGAGGCGTGAGGCGTGAGGCGTGAGGGAGAGAGAAGTGATGGTCAGAGATTGAAGCATGTGAGAACAATATCTCGTCCCGTTGCGTGGGAATAATCAACTGAGAAAATGCCAAAAAAATTGAGAAAAATGAACTTAAAGGTGGAGGAATTCAAGCTCAAAGGGAGCTGAGAGTGTATAGGAGGAGGCAGAATGAGGAAACAGTGTATGTCGTGCTACTCATGTCATCAAGTCTCTTGTCCCGTTCTACCCCAACTCCTAAAATACCAACACCTTCCACCTCAAAATTTGTAACAAGATGGACTTAGTAGATACCTTTTGCTCATCTTGAGGAGAGTGTTGAGATTTGTATCTTATTTTAAGGGGTATAATTGTAAATAGGAAGTATAACAAAAGTATAGGAGTTATTTGTAAAAGGTTTGTATAGCTCTATAGAAGCCCAACCCATTAATGAAAACATGTGATCATTTCTTCAATATCATTTCTTCAGATATATAATCAGCAAGTTAGGCATGCTAATATAAAACATAATTATTATTCAAGCAAGGCGATATGGAGCATCTTAAGTTTTGCATTGACAAAGTTCAAGGAACATGGAATGTAATATAATCCAAAAATGTGTTTTCATTTTACCCAAAAAAAAAGTGACCTTTTGAGATTCATGTTTCGCTTATAAAAACCATAATTGTAGTTCAATTAATGCAAGAAAGTCGCTTAAGTTCAAATCCATTCATATCTAATTAGATCTCATTTAAGAGAAAACATCTCATCAAACATTAACAATGATTTGATTGGCGGCTTCCTCATGAACTCGATACAATTTTTAATGAGAAAAGAAACACCTGATAGAGCCCTAAATACTGCTTGGCTGTTTCAAAGCATCACTTCATACCCTATTCCCGTACCTATGACTCTGAAAGTAACAACAAAACTCCTCAAGCACTTGCACAGTTTAAGTAGGTCGCCATATAAAATTAGTACAGACTTCCGCTTTCCATTATTGTACAGTTCCTATTTTGCAGGCCAGTGCTTAGTAGTGTTTTCTTCTATTTATAAAACTCCAAATGACTGCATTTAAATCTACTAAAAAAGTTGGAACTTGATTCCTTGAGACTCTGATAAATAACCAGTAAAAGGAAGAAAGGAATAATGATGAGAACCTAAAAAATCAAAGAGATAATTATGTATCGTGTCATTGGCTATCGCCCAAATAGCTAACAAATATGAGAATTCGTGATAATTACAAAAATCAAATAATTAATGCACATGAAACAACAAATAATTTCACCTTTGCTGTGACTTCAGGCTTTTTAAGAGGGATTGCTGGAGGAACCTGCATCAAAAACAAATCTTTTCCTTAGGAGGAGTTGGACCATCCCACGTGATAATTATATAGAAACTCTTATGATATCCATCATGGCGATAATACAACACAAAAGTTGAATAATCTATCCTTGTCCAAACTTAAACCAGGATGATGGAATCACTAAGAAAGCAAAGCTCCAGAAAATTTAATTCCATTTTTATGTTCCATATACCTTATTGAAAACTCAGAAAGGCATTATCTAACTGATAACACCATTCGTATCATTTCAGTACTAAACATAACAAAAGCATGGAGCTATGTCATCACCTCTAAGTCTATGTTTATTATGCATAAAAAATCAACCAATTTTAAGCCTCTTCTTCTACCCAATTAAACCCCAGTCTGAAAATTGAGTCATACGTTTGTTTTTTGATGTTTCATGTGAAAATAATAGTCAAATGTAGCACTCTAGCACTCAGAAAAGTAAAATACAAACTGATACACCAAACGTATCACTTCAGAACTACACATAACAAAAGTGTCATCACCGCTAAGTCCATGTTTAATATGCAAAAAATCAGCCATGTTTAAACTCCTCCCACCCAATTAAACCCCAGACTGAAAATTGAGTCACATCGGTTTTTGATGTTTCATAAAGAGTCATTAAAAACCATCTACAGGTATGTTTAAGTGTTTCAAAAAGAATCATTAAATACCACCATTAATGACAAACTATCAATTTATAGTATCATATGGAGGAAGATCAAAATAAATGACAAGAAAGAAATGTTTTGGTGATAATAACGCATTGGGAAGATATTGGAGGCTTTTTGTATATTTAAAAGAGCCCAGGTCAAGTATTAGGCGTGGTTACACAAGCAATTAACAATCATGTGATTCTTATAATAAAAAAGCACAAAAACAGATTCCCTTCACAGAAAATAAATATGATAATAAATATATCAGCTTCCCTAAATAGAATAAAAATGTTGATAAATACTTCTTAAAAATCCTGGAATTTAAGAAAGATTAGAGGGTGACCTAAATCGAAATTCATTGCAGTGTTAATGTATTTACTTTTCAGCAAACAAACACAATCAAGAAACACATTCGTTCAACAGTGCATACATACTCAAGCTTCTAAGGATTGCAACATCACCCAATGATGTAAATGCTTAATTAAAACAAGCAGAACTTGCAAAGTATGTCTCGTGAAAGTATAGAGACGGCTCCAGAAAAATATGAACGAAGAATAAAAAACAATACCAGCTAATTACACTTTAGGACAATAAACAATGATAAGACTAAAATTTATCAGGCAAAGACAACACCTTGCCCTCATCAGAGTCAGAATCACTTTCTGAGCTGTCGCTGGACTCATCCTTCTTTTTAGGTACAGTTATTACAGAAGCCTTCAAAGGAGCTGAACCACTCTTTGCAGTGACAGAAACTTTGGGAGCATCATCCTACAGAAAAATACAGCAGATGTTTGCATAAGAAGAAAGCAAACTAGCAGGGCATTCAAAACCAAACTGAAATAAGATTCAAAGAGTCACCTAACCTCATCATCAGAGTCGCTATCGGAGCTTTCACTGGATTCTTTTTTTTTATTTGATTTAATTACTGTAACTTTTGAAGGTGGCTTTTTGACAATTGATGCAGCCTTAGCTGTCACTTCCTGTAGAATAAGAGTTGCATATTTGGTGAACATAGATTAGACTTTCAAATCCAATTGCTTCAATGTATAATGACAATTATCACCTGATCATCAGATTCACTATCAGATGTTTCACTCGACGACTCTTGAGTAACTCCATTAATTTGTATGGGAAGAGATTTCTTTCCATTACCAGCTTTTTGTTCAATTCCCTGCACAGATCAATCCAAACCTTGAGAGAAGGTTATAAGAAAGAATCAGAGTCATTAAAAAACATTAAGACAATTTAAAGAAAATATCTCTGAAACCCTTAATAAATTGACATCTTCTTCACCAGAATCGCTGTCAAAGCTAACAATTTTAAGAGCTAATATGTGGTTTCTTTGAAGGAACGGCAGACTTATGCACACTAAAAAAGTCATTAGATCATCAGCCAATTTTTAAAAAAGATAAATGAAAAATAATTACGAACTAGATTCTCTTCACCAGAACTGCTATCAGAATCCACATCACTAGAACTCTTGCTTTTTTGAAACCAAGTCAATGCAAGTCTTAAATCCAGCAATAGGTAAAATTTTAAATGAATTTGCAGGTTTAATTTCCTGAAAGTCATATCAATCCTTGGCAGAGAGATGGCCCACAATAAATAAACAATGCGTTCAGAAGAACGTAATTAACAAAAAAAGCTAATTCCAATGAGTTAAGAAATGCTAAAAAACTACCAATGAATATGGCAATACATCAATGCGTCACTAAAAAATATCAATATTTCAAAAGAAAACAAAAAAGAGCATTTAGGATAAGCCACCAAAGAGACCCCATCCCATTCATGTGTAATGATTAAATGTGTGATAATGTGAAAAAAGGTGAAATATTAATTCCAATGAGTTAAGAAATTGAAATTAAAATGTTTAGCAGCTATGGATACATCAATTAAAATGCTAGTAAATATTAACATTTCAAATTAAAACAGAAAAAAATACATGAAAAGCCACAAAATATAATCTTTCCATTTCCAGCATCCCCATAATGACATGCATAACAATGTCATCCCCAATAAAAATATGATTTTAAGGACTTAATAAATTGTTAAAATGAGTGGACAAATAAAAAGATAACAAAAATAAAGCACCAATGAATATATCATATTTTTAGAATGAAAACAAAATAAGGTACATCAACATTTACCAAACAAACCCCTTCCATCCCACCTTCGTGTGCAACTCCATACTGAAAAGAAACTTAGTGTGTGTGTGTGCCACCCAACGTGTTTGGTTGGCAGAGTTTATAAAACCCCTAGAGTCACGGGTTCGACTCCGCCTATGTGCAGAATGGAATTCTTAGGCAGATGAGGTTGGTCTGGAGTGTATGTATGTATGTACGTATGTATGTATGTATGTATCTCTCTCTCTATGTGTGTGTGTGTGTTGCACACCCTAGATTTAATTGATTAGGAAAAAAAAATGCAACCCACTTCATCAGACGATGACTCTTCACTGCTACTGGAATCCTTTATTGGTTGTTTTACTGGCTTGCCACCCTTTTTTGGAACAATTTTGGCCTGAAATTTAAAAAGCAATCAGTTTTTGACAAAGGAAATGATGGAGCATCTTTAGTTTTACAACATCATTCTGCATGTGATGAAGATTTGAAAAACATAAAGTTGCAAATATAACAACGAAATCTACAGCAAGTAACCCATGGCTTCTAAAAAAGAGAGCAAACAGCACAGCGAATCAGAAACACCTCTTTTTCAGAATCTGATGAAGTGTCCTCCGAGCTACTGGTTTCAGCTTTCTTCTTTGGCGGCTTCTTTGATTTTTTATCAACATTCTGTTTCGTCTGAACTTCCACTACTACTTTCTTCTGCTTTTTGGCAGTCGCAGGTTTCTCCAACACTACTTCCGCATCCCTCTTTCCTGAACATCAAAAAAAAGTATCTTCAAAAATTGCTAATGCGTGGCAATGGCAGTAACATAAAGATTAAGAAATAAAAGGGTAGGCAAACCCTTTTTGGCCGACTTGGAAGGAGGAACGGGAACCGCCACAGGAGCAACCTGCACAAAAGAACAATGTTCAAAAACAGCACAAATTGATCTGAACAGCTACAAATTAACTAAAAGCGATGCCCTCACCTCTACAGTGGTCTTCTTGTTTGATTTACCCATTATAGTGCTAATCACCAGAAGCAGAAACAACACAATAAGAACCAATCATAAAATTATCTACATCTATAGCTAAAACACTCGATAGAAAAATATACTAAACGGCATTAAAAACCTCCAAACAGATGGAAAAAAAAAAAAAACTCCTACAGAAACCAAAGGGACGAGTAGCAAAAAAATTAAATAACAAACAAAAGGTGAGAAACTCCTATGCCTTCGGTGCTGCGAAAAACAAACATTACCCTAAAAATCTTAGAGAGCGTGCTGATTTCTACCACAAGTTTGATCACTAGCCAGACTATGAAAGAAATCTAAATGAAAATCGATGCTTTAGCGACCATAAACTTACGAGAAGAAGGTTCGGTCGGGAAGGCAAGGCTGGAGAAAACAGAAGCTCGAAAAACCCTAGCAGCCAAGGGTTTTGAATCTGCGGACCGAAAGCTAGATGTTCGATTTTATATGTATGTAATCAACCGATGGCGTAGAGGTAGCCTTCGATTTTAGGAAGGAAGATTTACACACGTGCCACTCAATTCTCATGTATTTGCATATCCCAAACCAAAACCTTAATTTTTTTGCATGCCATCCCACATTTAGATGTTCTTCTGCCATCGATTCACCGACGTTGCGGCCTGGTCGAACGCTGCCCTTTTTTTTAGGAATTTTTTAGATTTTCAATTTTTTACAAATATACCAATCATTCATATGTATTTATATATAAATTTCATTTTTTACATACTCATCACAGACGTATATTTCACCTTTTTTTTAATAATGGTGATTCTTTTCTTATGATTAGAAAAAGTGTCTTCGTGTTCGGCTCGTTTGCTTAGCAAGTCAAACACGAGTCGTTCACAAACAAAAAGTCATTTTAACAACCCTAATCATGTAATCATAAAATAATAAGAGTTTGAGCAAGATTTAAAAATTATTATTTATATTAAAACATCATTTGAATCAAATTTAATAATTTTTATTTTATTTTCTTCATTAATACTTTTAATTGATTATAAATCTTTGTAGCCTTACAGGCAATTAATCTTTTTAAAAATATATATATATATATATATAATTGACTAGTAATATTTCGATTCAAAACAAGTCGAACACGAACAAATAAATATTGGTTTGTGTTGTTCGTGTTCGGCTCGTTAACTCAGCAAACGAGCCGAACACGAGCTGTTCGCGAACAACGAGCTGTTTTGACAGCCCTAGTTGAATAGGTGTAAAAAAGCAAAGTTTAGAACTCAGACATGTAAATAAATGAGAATTAGGTGGTATATATGTAAATGCCCCATATATTTAGGATAAAAAAATGCTAAAACATCAGTTTTTCTATGGTTGCCACAATTTAATATATAGATTGCAAAAAGATAAATTTTCTGCACAAAATTTCTAAAGAGGGGCAAGAAAATAGTTGCCCGACTAGATTGACTAATATTGACAAATTTGTATATAAAACTAATAAAAATATGCTCACAAAATATTTTAAAAAATATAATATTTTTTTAAATAGTTATATAATTATTTTATTTTTGATATTATAATCATATTGTTAGTTATTTTATCATAAAAATTCTTTAATTTTTTAAAATCACAAAAATTTAATACTTATGAATTTGCTTAAATCCATCTACAATATGTATTTTTATTTATACTTTTATTCAATTATCATATATTTTAAATTAAACAATAAATATAGGTTAATTCACATATTAATATTGTAAAGCATCAAAGAAATGTGAGTTCAAAATCAAATATAAATTACAACAAAAAATACAATTTAATTTACATAAAATATGATAAAAATTAATTTAAAATTAAATTAATTTTCTATATGATTAATTAAAAAACAAAAAAAAATTAAATAGAAAACAATTCAGTTTAAAATTCATGGAGAGAACGTTAAGTTGACTTAAGATTTAATATAAATTATAAATTATTAAATTTTAAGCTATAATTAAAATATTTTTTTATATTATTATTTAAATATAATTAAATTCACTTAAAATTTTTCAAAAGAAAAAATATCTTTTTTTTTATTTAAAACAAACTTACTTTAAGAAAATTTAAAGCTAGAGCATAAATAATTAAAAATACAAAAAATAAAAACCGTGAGCTAGTTGTTTCCTTGTTTATTTATTCTTTATGATGATTTGCATGCATACCACACAATTCTTATGTATTTACACATCTAACACCTACACTTCAATGTTATATATATATATATATATATATATATATATAAAGGAGACAAAGTCTCCTATATCAATAAAATAAAAC